TCTAACACCTGATACCTAACAGAGTATCTAGTTCAACACAAAAAAGGAACTGAGTTATTTCAAGTTTACTATATCATGATTCAGGACTTCCAGGCACTGCTACCTTCAAAAATCAGATTAAGCCCAACAAGATCACAAGCATTTAAAGAGTACCCACTACACTTGACAACGAGCATACACAGATGAGTAAGACATGGCCGATCTTTCACGAAGTGCCTACCAGGAAAGTGCATACAGGCCAACAAGTATTTACTAAATGTCTACACTAAACACTGTGCTCTGGGATGCAAAAAATTCATCCCACCACAGCAAGAACTTCAGGACTCAGGCATCTGAGCCTCACTTAGAAATGTGACGCTGGGCATGGTAGAATTAGATTATCAAAGGATTTCCCTTCCTAAGTGATAGTAATGCATCACATAACATTTCAGTGGACAAGACATTGAATATACAACTGTGGTCCCGTAAAATTTTTATACCATATTTTTACTAAATCTTTTCTAAGTTTAGGCACGTTTTGATACATTATTCAGTATAGAAATATGTTGAACATGGATGTATCCCAGGACAAATACGTTATACCCATATAACATGGGTGTGAAGTAGGCTACATCATGTAGGTTTGTGTGAGTACACTCTATGATGCTCCCACAAGGATACTTGTCTCAAAATATACCTCTGTCATTAAGTGACACATAACAATATCAAGGTTATATACACCATAGCTCTAAGACTCTTAAGATACCAATCTGCTGGAAGTGATGTAGGCTATCTGAATCAAAAATATGAATCGATTATAAGGGCAAGATAATTACTAATTCAAAAAACTGGAAAGTAATGTTAAAACTGATAGAATGTAAATACTTTCTAACTATGAACAATTTATGGCATTTTAATCTAATGGGTTCAAATCATAAATTGAGAAAAAATATTAAAATTTAGTTATTACTTTTTTTTTTTTTTTTTTTAAGGGAGTCTCACTCTCTGGCCCTGGCTGGCGTGCAATGCAGCAATCTCGGCTCACTGCAACCTCCGCCTCCCAGTTCAAGCGATTCTTCTGCCTGAGCCTCCTAAGAAGCTGGGATTACAGGCACGCGCCACCACACCCGGCTAAATTTTGTATTTTTAGTAGAGATCGGGTGCAACCATGTTGGCCAGGCTGGTCTCGAACTCACCACCTCATGATCCACCTGCCTCAGCCTCCCAAAATGCTGGGATTACAAGCGTGAGCCACCGCGCCCAGCCAATTACTTGGCTTTTTAAGATACCATCATCAAACAAACTTTAGTACAAGAATAAAAGAGGTCTGAATTACCTAGTTAAGTATTTAATTAAGGCAACTAGTTCTATTCGGCTCCTACTAAATCTCATCAAGAAACTGTCTTCGATTCTCAACTTTTCTGTAAAATAATGGGATTGGATTATACTGCAAGGTCCCTTACAAATCGAAAACTTTGTACTTCTGTGATGCATAAGATTAAAATGTCAACACAATTTTCAAATCAGGAGTAAAGAAGCCATCTTTGCAAACTGGTGATGTCAAAAAAATCACTATTTCCTGCCTTATTGCAAGTATCATGCTTCAAATTTTATCTAATCATTGTTTTCAAGTATGTCAAAGAAAGTTTCGCGATTCAAGACGTACTCCTCTAAACCCTCAATACTAAAACTGTTTCCATTACATTCAGTACAGGATCCTGAGGAAAATGTATACCAAAAGGGAGTGGGAGCCGATCTAATCCAAGTCAGACCTGGAACGCACTAATTAAAATTCAATATTTCACTTGGTATGTGGGTTCCTATGTGAAACTCCTGTCATAGTTAAAGCTTAAGGTTAAACAAGTTAATAGAATCCAATAGAATGGCTCTATTGAATTGTACTGAGCTTCTTTTTCAGTAGCTCCTTTGCCTAACCACTATGTTTAGCTTTAAAATCAACTTCCGGGGTAGCACCAAATAATCAAGGTGAGCCACGGCGGCCGGGGGCTGCCAACTGAAATCCATCTCGCGTGGAAAATCATCAACTCACGTTTTCCATTTCAAACTGCGATATGGGTGGAGGAAAAATTGTAAAAGCCTTCTTTCTGAACCTGCCATCACAGGGCCTCAAGGCAGTTAACTTAAGAATCTCAAGATAACCTAATGCCACAGAGTTCTCAGAAGACTCTAAGAGTTGTACGTGCGAGAGAAGGCAAAAAAAAAAAAAAAAAAGCTTCGGGACTAAAGTATTAAATTTTGCTGCTGAATTCCCAAGACTTAAATTCCGAGAACCTTTCCACCTGGACAGAACGGGGTGTCTGGATCCCGAGGAAAACGGGAAGTTAGGTGCTTAATCCTCAGACAAGGGATGGAGGGGGACACAGTGAGGTCTTCACACTCGGCTGGCAGAGGGGAGTGGGGCACTGGGGAGGTCTAGAAAGTGAGAGCGACCAGGAGCCAGACGCGAAGGTTACCCTCAGGAAGGCCCGGGGCTCGCACTGCAAGGCGCCAAGCGCCGGGCAGCCTGGTGGTCGGCGAGGCATCCCAGCCAACTCAGGCCAACCCCGGGCGCCCGGCCTCCCTTCTCCCGCGCGAGGGCGACGTGCCCCCACCCGTCCTCGCAGGCAGCGCGAGTAAGAAGCGGAGCGCCGGGCTGCGGAAAGCCGGCACGCACGACGTGTAGGCATCAAGAAAATGCAATTCGAACCCTGCCAGTTTGCAGAAGGAACAAAACGCGACGGGCTGGACGCCTCATTCCGAGCGCTGGGCGGACTACTGCGCATGGAGTGCAGCGCGTGCGCCCGGGAAGCGCTCGGCTCTCAGCTCCGCCTCCCCCACACCCCCCGCCCCCGGCTCCCCGCGCCGCAGCCTCCGCTGCTGCCCCTCTGGGAACTCCGCGCAGCGCGGCCCCGCGAGGCGGGCGCCGGGGAGGGGAGGGGCCGCGCTCCCCGCCTCCCTGCCGGCCCGCGCGGCTCCCCAGCCCGGAGCCTACTCACCTCCTCCTCCTCCTCCTCGTCTCTCCCTCCTGGCCACCGGCGCAGCCCAGCCGGCGACGCGCTGACGCCGTGCCCCTCCCCCGCGACCGCCGCGATGCCGCCGCCCCTCCCGGCCCGCGGCCGCCGCGGCCTCCGGGCGCGTCAGGCGCTGGCCCCGCCCATCGGCCCGCCCACGCACTCGAGGCTCCGCCTCCCTGCGCAGCCGGGACTCTGCCGGCGCGGGGTCCCTAAGTCAGCGGCAGCTCCCGCCCGCGCGAGTAGCTCCGCCCCGGCCCGCGGGCTCGGCTGGTGGCACCTGCCTTTTGTCCCCTGGCCTCTCTCCGCTCCCACCCCCCTGCGGGCCCTTTCCCTTGTCGTCAACACCCCGTCCGGCCCTTCAGCTTTTTCATACTCTTCATACACTTTCCCCAACCTCCTCGTCCCGTTTAAGCTCGCATAGTTACCTTCTCTTTCCTTCTGGAAGGTCTGTGCTGCTCACTAGGTGGACCTCGGCTTCCTTCCGCAGTTTTCCAGCTGGCCCCTTGCATCTTCTTTCCCCGTCCTCTCCCCTGCCTGCTGGGGCCTCAGGACCCCGGCGCTTTCCCGGCTCCCTTGCTGACACCTCTACCTGCTCTGCAGCCCCTACCTCCTCGGCAACTGCTTTGCCAATGCGTCTTAATTTCCCTACCTCTAGACCCCCTCGGATCCCTCCTGGCAAGGCCTATGCTTTCCTTTAACTCCATTTTTCGCGTCCTTTCGGTTCTGACTACTCCACACACTTCTGATGCAGTTTGAGTATTCAACAGCTGCATGTTCACGGTCCCACTTACACGAAGAGAGTCACATTGAATAATTAAAAATCACAAAGCAAAGCGACAGCCGTGGAGACCATCGTTTGACTTGCATAATTCCAGCTATACTTTCCTTATGCACTAATATTCTCATTGCCACTTGAATTTCAAGGAATGGGATTTTCCACTGGGGCTTAAAATTCACAAATGTTGGATGTTTTTTCCCTGCGACCTAATTTCACTTCAGCTGTTTTATTTATAAAATACAAAGTAGAAAGAGTACCAGGAAGTCCTAGGTGTTCTTGTCTACATGTAAAGTGAAGAATGTGTCCCTTCCTCCTTTAAATTTCCGTGATTCTGAAGTAAAGGATTTTGTATATGGAAGGAGGGTGTAGGTTAAATGAGTCTAGCGAAGGCAAAAGATGCAAATATAACTGGATGTCTTGTTTATTAAGTAATTTCATTTTTGAAACTGCAACTTGGAAGAGTTAGGCTGTGATGCGGAAATGAGTTAAGAAACATACCAAAATAAAGGAAATTGATTAGGCCTTTGTAGTTATATCCAAAGTTGCGCTAAGTTATGTCAGTAAACATTCTTATCCTTAAATTGAAGCGCTGAAACTATCTTCCGTTCCAAACAAAATCCAGCTCTGTGTGGACATTCAAAGTTTAAAACCATTGTTGAATTGAACAACAGCATTGTAAGCATTTGAAAGCCTAATAAACCATCTGTCCATTCACTTTCACACAAATTGAGAAACAGAAGTAAATGCCAAAACCTGAAAGTGAGTGTTCCTGACTACACATGAAACTAGTAAATCCCATTACACAGAATAAAGTACAAAATGCTCTCCACTTACCATGGAGTTACTTCCCAAGAAACACAATGTAGGTTAAAAATATTGTAAGCCAAAATTGCATTTAAGTCTAGCAACACAGCAGATGGTCCTTGACTTCCAATATTTTCAACTTTAGGACGGTGTGAAATATATATGCATTCAGTAGAAACCATAACCCTATCATAAGTCATAAGAAGCTCCTCAACTTATCATGTGGTTACTTCCAGATAAGCCCATTGGAAAATGGAAAAATTCTAAATTGAACCACGATATCTGAAAAATCCCAAAAGTTATGGCTGCCATGTCATTGATTTGAAAATAGAATGACATAATTTTATAATTAATCTGGTCCTTAAAATAATTGGGAGTCTAATCCTTTCGTTTTAAAATGAAAAAAATCCCCCCCACCGCCGAGACCAAGATGGCCGCAACTGTAATTCTGCCCCCAATCAGCCCCTACTTCAAGTACTCTGTCATGATCAACAAGGCCACACCCTACAACTACCCAGTGCCTGTCCGCGATGATGGGAACATGCCCGACATACCCAGCCACCCCCAGGACCCCCAGGGGCCCAGCCTGGAGTGGCTGAAGAACCTGTGAGCACCTCCACTGACCAAGGCGGGCCCTCTCTCGGCCCCCAATAAAAATGTGAAAACCAAAAAATAATAATAATAATAATAAAATAAAATGAAAAAAGTTTTTTAATTTTTTTAAATTTGATTAAGAACTGTAGCCCAGAGAGGGTAAGTTGTTTAGCCAGTATCACCCAGCTTAACTGGAAACAAAACCAGAATTCAAACTCAGACTTTCTGTCTCACATACCTGCCAGCATCTGGCTCATATTAATAGTTAACACTTACATAAAGCTATTTAACATCAAAATTCTTTGACTTTGCAGCTTTGCCTGCATGGTCTGAGTAATGTATGAAATTGCACTTGGCACTAGCTAGGAAGGTATTTTTGTCAGAAGCTGTTTTGTCTCACTGGTTTCAAGGATTCCTGTTGCACAACTTTCATCTCAGTCAGGGTTCATCTGCATGATCCAGGCAATTTTGGCCAGACCTCCTGAGCCATGAACCAATCAAATGCATTCATCCTCAGTAGTGACAACGGATGTGCCTAATTGTAAGAATTACTAAGTCCCTGTTGCCAAGAAAATTACATCACTAGAGAGGTAAAATATGAAACACAAAATGATAATCCAACATTATTAATGAAGGATTCAATTGTAAATTTCCAATTTTAAACTGGAAAATAATACATGTAAACTGAGAGAAGACTTCTTAACAACAGAAAAGGAGAAAAAAAATGAAATTCAGAATTTAGGTTTATTTATAGAGAAAAAAGGAAAAGGAAATTGCTTAAAGGCGGTAAGAAGAAAATAGGCACATCAATAACGAGGAAAAGGTAGGAGATCCACTGAGCTAAAACAGGAGATTCATTTCAGAAACAGAAAACTAGCTGAAATAACAGAGTAGGATCATTGATAAAGGGCCTAAATTTGAGCCTGAGATATTTACTCTAATAGGAAATCATCTGGGCAGACTTGGGATGGGGAGAGGAGGACAAGACAAGAAGACCATAGCTTGTCAGGTTCTGATGAAGCAATTAGAATTTATAAGAATATTTGGTCATAAATACAACTAAGGAAAGACTTAGTTCCCTGCGTGTGTGTGGGAATGAAAGAAGAGAATGAAATCCAAGATGACTTTAGGATTGTGGCAAGAGTCAATAACAGGATATAAAGATCTTGGCACCTTAGAGTTGGAAGATAATCAACACTCACTGGTACAGCCTCTCATTTGATAGACAAGGAAGCCAGATATTTTCCCAAGGTGGATCCTCATCATCACAACCTCATTCCAGAAAACTGTAGTTTACTGTTTAAATAGAATCAGAAGGTAAAAAAGGAAACTCTCCCTTGTTCCTGTTCCTGCTGGTGTTTTATGGTCGGTCAGCTTATTTTTATTTCTACTTTAGCCCCACTGACACAAAAGTGCTCAGTAATACAGTATATAATATTACAGGAGGAAATAAATCAATAAGTGTTTGTTAAATATGTGCCAAATGCATTCCAGTATGTTTCTACTCAGAACTCTGCTAGATGTGGAAGCCTAGAAAAGTACAAAGAGGGAAGAGCCTCTGACGACGAAAGCTTACAACCTGGTTGAAGAAAAAAGTTCAATGCACCTGACACCATAGAGAGTAGATTCCATGGGCAGTGAGAACAACATATGTGAACTGGATGGTATGTTTATATAGAAACATGGAAAAATACTGTCGAATGGATTGGAAGTGATATGATCTATAAAGTTCATTATTCAACACATTTTTATTAATCTTTAAGCACCATTCTAGGTATTAGAGGTAAGGCAGTAAAATAAAAAGCTCCTGTTCCTATTGAGGTTACATTCTGTTCAGGAGAGACAGAGTAGAACAAGTAGATATACAACTATAAGTGTAACAAGTGCTCTGAAGAAAATAAAGTGCAAACGTGTCAGAATGCATGTGAAAGGAGTAGGACTGACCTTTCTGAGGAACACTTAAACTACCACTTGAATGAAAGAAACAACCAGTCATGGATGATCCAGAGAAGAGTAATAGGTAGATAGTAAGCCAGTGTAGAGCTCTAAGGAGGGGTCAAACTTTGTGCATTTCACACTATAAAAAAGCCAAGTGTGTCTGCAGTGTACGGAACTAGGAGCAACGCGAAGGAAAGGAAGCAGGGGAGGTAAGTAAGGACTTTCGGGTAAGAAGGGATTTTGAGGTCAAGTTAAAATATGGATATCTGGGCCAGGCATGGTGGCTCACATCTGTAATCCTAGTATTTTGGGAGGCCGAGGTGGGCGGATCACCTGAGATCAGGAGTTCAAGACCAGCCTTGCCAACACGGTGATACCCCATCTCTACAAAAACACAAAGGTTATCTGGGCATGATGGCGCACACTTGTAATCCCAGCTATTAGGGAGGCTGAGGCAGGAGAATCGCTTGAATCTGGGAGGCGGAGATTGCAGTGAGCCAAGATCGCACTGTTGCACTCCAGCCTGGGCAACAGAGCAAGACTCTGTCTCAAAAAAAAAAAAAAAAAAAAAAAAAAAAACCAACTCAATAGATAGATAGATAGATAATTTGGAAGATTAGTCATTTTGGCATTCTGGATTTGAGGAAGGAGAGATTAGCACCTGGAAGACCAGATGGAAACCTGCATGATAATTCAGGCAGGAGGTGATGTGAGGTAAGCAAGGTTGATGGCAGGGCTAGCAAGGAAGATGAAAATGTCAAGATTGAGTATTGAGTGTGTCAGAGGGATGGTAGGCAATATTGGTTGGAAAGAGCCGATAGTGTCAAATGTAGCAGAAAGGCCAAGAAGAATATGCATGAAAGAAAAGCTAGTATACTTAGCAACAAGATGTCACATGTGAACTCCAAGAGAAGAGTTTCTATAGAACGAGGAGGTAAGAAGTAAGGAAAGGGAGGCAGTGAACTTACAGACTATAAAAATCAGTACAACTCAAAGTGTGCAAAGGATATGTGTATTTTATTTGCCTTTTAAGGCCATTTATATTTTGGAATACTATTGAGTTTTAAAAACCATTTAAATACTCCCGTCAGGTCTAATTTTTTGTTTCCATACTGAGGGGAAAACAAATATATTCAAGACATATCTGATATGCTTTATGGACCAAAAAGCAGTCACAGCAGTGACTCCTTGCTCTGAAGGTAATAAAAGTTCACTTTATTCCTGAGATGTGGCAAGAACCTAACCATAGAAACACTGTGGAAAATGTATCATATCAGTTACCACTCAATTTTTGCCATCTAAACCATGAAGGCTGTGGGTTGGACCTTGGACACATTGTATATTCTTACTGAACTCCAGGTTTTCATTAAGAAAGAAGGAGAATCACCCAGATATTAGGCTTATAAAGAGAAATATCATTCTGTGAGATGCACATATACAGATGCCATGACTCCAAGTGCAACTATTGCAGTCTGGAAGAAAACAACTCAGTTGAACTAGACGTTCTTTTGCCCAGCAAACTGCAAGTCCATTAATGAGTACTTTTATTCCCTGGAAACAGACAAAACTAGTTTGGCAAACAGAGTAGAAGGCAAAACCTAAGATCCCTACATTTGTAGCGATGCAATTGAGCACCTCCAGGAAAGCAAGCCTGCCTCTAGCTAAGCTGTGTTCACACATGCATGTGCATGCCTTCTCCTGATTGTATGATGTCGGTGGGTAGAGTGTGTTAATTTGTTAGGTGTTATTGAAAGAGGAAATGCTATTAGCACTCTTTTTTATTTGGAATATACTTCATTTTAAGATCCATTGGGGGCAGTTAATCTCTTGGGATGGTTTGGAAAACTTCATTAAATTCAATGAAGGAAATATAAGTGTAAGTGATTCTAAAAATAATCATGAAATTTACTATGTTTAATTTGCCGGCCCAAGTGCTTCTCAAATCAGTAGTAACCAAAGATTCCTAGCATTAATGAACAATTACCATATTGCTGAAATCAACACCATATTTAGCCTTAAAAGCCTTCTTGTTATTGGTACTGAAAGAGGCCAAAAACATCAATAGCCCAGGAAGCATAAAATGTACTCTCTGTTGATGAAATGATCTCTTGAAATTAGGGTTTACCTATTCCAACACTATAATGTGAGAGAATTTGCTTTGTCATTGTTACCTTGTGGCCTAGAGACAGAAACGAACGTTTCATACTGTGGTTCATCCTGTACCTTTTATCAAGGATAAATTCATGTTTTCGTTTAAAAACAAAGAAAGCTTACATAATCTCTACTCATGATTAGCCTTTCCAGTAATTATCTGTTGCTTAGAATCAGTGTCAGCCAACCAAGTTCAAATGGCAAAAAAAAAAAAAAAATAATGTTTGATCTGCTATGATGTGATTTAGAAGACTGTGTGCATGGAAGGTACAGCTATGCACATACAGAGAACATATTTATCTAATTTGACTGCCAGTGATTTAATTAATGTTTGTCAAGCACTTTGAACATGAAAAGAACTATCTGAAAGCTGAGAGCTATTACTCATAATCATTTTTCCTATTTGTTGAACTAAAATTAACATACAAATGTGATACTCTTACGGTATCTTTGAGAGAGATACTACTATTCTAGCAAATTCATTGGACCACACTTTAAGAAAGTCTCATTAAAACTTCAAGGCTCTGGTTTTTGAAAGTCAAGCTTCAAGCTGGTTGAGTATCATCCATCAGTAGATTTTGAAGCATGCAGGCTAAATAAACACCAGTGACAGCTTGGGGAAGTGTATGCACCTGTTTATTGAGAAAAAGTTAACAGGGGCACATCTAAAATCAGAACACATACCGCAACCTGATTTTCAAGAAGCTTTTGTGCATGCCTACACTTAAAATTACCCATATTATCATCTAATTTTTTTCTTCTAATTTTCTCTCCAAAGAATAACTACTAATGAGCACGATACCTTGGTAACAATCTGAGAGAAAAAGAAAAAAAGGGAAAGACCCTATTTTACAGCTTTGAGAAGAAGCAGACATGACGTTTTCCATTATTGCTGTTTCTCCAAGTCAAGTATAAGAGCTATTGGCAAAAGAAGAGACATCTTGAGGAGAAAGTAAGGAGCCTGGACAAGGGCCTAGTCTATCATTATTT